GGCTTTTTTCCATTCCATACGAAATTGGAGATTGCCTTTTCCATCTCGTTGAAGAATGGGGTTGGTATTTGTATTGGGGTTGCATTAAATGTGTAAATTGCTTTTGGTAGTATTGCCATTTTCACAACATTGAGTCTTCCTATCCATGAGCCATCTTATGAGGGATTTCATTGCTTATGTCAAATGGATTCTGGCTGAAAGTAAGGAATACGAGAAGAATGTCTATCTGTGCTTTATTGACTATGCAAAGGCATTTGACTTTTGTGGATCAGGAAAAGTTGTGGGTGACAATGAGAAGAATGAGGATCCCAGAGCACTTTATTGTACTCATATGGAACATATGCCCAGATCAAGAGGATGTTGTGCAAACAGAGCAGGGGAGCACTGCAATGTTTGGAATTGGGGAGGGAGTGCAGGAAGGTTGAATTCTCTCTATATACTTTTTCTATCTACATGCTGAGCAGATTATCCAAGAAGTTGGACTCTATGAAGAGGAGTGTAACATCAGGTTTGGAGGGAGACTCATCAATAACCTGCATTATGCAGATGACACAACTTTACTTGTTTCAGAAGATGAAGGATTGCAGTCTTCAGTATGGATTGCATCTCAATACCAGGAAAACAAACATTCTTACCACAGGACCAACAGGCAGTGTCATGATAGATGGAGAGAAGAATCAAACTGTTGACAGCTTCATCTTGCTTGGACCCACAATTAACACCTTTTGTACAAGCAGTCAGGAAATAAGGAGACACATTGCACTGGGAAAATCTGCATTTAGGGACCTCTTCAAATTATGGAGGAGTAGTGAAGATAGTTTGAGGACTATAGTGGATCTGATTCAGGCCATAGTCTTTCCTATGCATCCAAGACCTGGACAATGAATAAGAATGACAGAAAAAGAATTGACGCTTTTTCGTTGTGGTCTTGAAGAAGAGCACTGAACACCCCAAGAGAACAAACAGATTTGTGTCGGAGAGGGTACAACCTGAGTGTTCTTTGGAGGCAAGAATGTTGAGGCTTCATCTTGCATACTTTGGGCATGTTGCTAGAAAGGGCAATTCCTTGCAGAAAGACATGATTTTGGGAATGGTGGAGGATCAGAGAGTGAGAGGAAGATCCTCAACAAGGTAAATTGATATGGTGACTGCTGCAATAGGTTGTTGTGTGTTAGGAATTGTGAGTATGGCACAGGATAGGACCGGGTTCAGATCTTTTGTTCATAGGGTCTCTATGAGTCATGTTCGACTCGACAGCACCTAACAATAATAACAACAACACTTGTTATGCATGGCAAGCCAGACTCTTTAGTTTCTCTTTGTGGCTGCTTCAATGGTGAACTATTTCAAAAGTATTTGTTGCACAGAGGTATTTTCAGTGCCTTAAAATGTAAGAGGCTTATCCTCCAGCACTGTATCAGACAGTGTTCTACTTCTATTCATAAGGTTTTCACTGGTTAGTTACTTAAGAAATGGATTGCTAGGACTCTTTTTTCTATTCTTTGCATGGAATAGATATTTTGAATAGAATTTTGCAAGACCAACGACTTTTCATTGAGATACTTTTCTTCATTCTCCCACAACAGAAATAATAACTTTTTCTTTATGTGCCTCTCAAAATATAATACACACTTATCAATTTGATTATATCTGTGGAAAAAAGACGAGAGAGAAACACATTATTAGTTAAAGCAAAGCCAGGGATTTTCTACGGAATATAATAGCAATTGCTCATATGGAGGTTCAAGTTGAAGATAAAAAAAAACCAAAACTAGAAATAAAAAAAAAATCCGCAAAAGCCAAAAGTATGAATGTGAGCATTTATTTCCTATCTGAATCCAGACACCACCTCAAACATAGAGTGTATGTATTGAAGGCTAAGACCAAAGACCAGATGAGTTGTGTGAATATATCAAGGAATCACAAAAAAAAAGAAAAGACCAAAACATATACGAGAAGAGAATCAAAAATTCACTCTTGAACACAAAGTATTCAAGGGAGGGATATACAGAATGATCAAGTAAAATAATTAGACAGATTTCAAAGGGCAGCATGAAAGGCAAAGTAAGTTAGTGCAATGAAACGTGTACAGAAGTGGCGTTAACGAAGGATAAAATGTACTTGGCATTTAGCACCTTGAAAGAACTGAAGAAAAATCAAGCTTTGAGTTGCAATATTGACAGAATTTATAGACAAAATATCAAATTGTCAGAAAGCATAAAAAGAAGATGGAAAGAATAGAAGAGTCTCAGCACAAAAAAACTTTGATTGGGCAGCCAATCACCCACTTGCCCCACCCTCAGCTCGCTATGGCCACGCCTTCCAGGCCCGCCTCACCTTTAGATAAACCAACGAGAGGACCCTGCTAGCTGCTAGAACAGCTCGACCGGAAGCATATCCTACTCGGGTAGCCTGACCGGAAGTGTAACCCAGTGGCACGGACATGAGAGGAAGTTGATGAGAGGCTTCTCTTTCTCACTTCTAGATGTTATAGACATCCGAAAAATGCCTCCTGAAAGCAGTTTGTTTTTGAAAAGTATGGTTCTCGGAAGCATTTGCTGTGCCTTGATCACTACGCTGAGCCATTTTAGGATTGGTCGTGAACATAGACGGCACTACCATGAGCATCATCACCTACAGGTTCCTAACAAAGAAGATACCTTGAAAATTTCAGAGAATGAGCGCATGGAGCTCAGTAAGAACATACGGGTGTACTGTATCATCCTTGTAAAACCCAAAGATGTGAGGCTTTGTGTTGCAGTGAAGGAGACTTGGACCAAGCACTGTGACAAAGCAGAGTTCTTCAGTTCTGAAAACATTGACATGTTTGATTCAGTTAATATGGAAACAAATGACATGTGGATAATGATGAGAAAAGCCTATGAATATGCCTTTGATAAACATAAAGACCAATACAACTGGTTCTTCCTTGCACTGCCCTCTACATTTACCATTGTTGAAAACTTAAAGTATTTTTTGTTTAAAAAGGATCCATCACAACCCTTTTACTTAGGTCACATTATGAAATCTAGAGAACTTGAATATGTGAGTGCGAAAGGAGGAATAGTCTTAAGTCTAGAATCCATGAGAAGATTTAACAGCCTTCTTGGTTTCCCTGAGAAGTGTCCTGAACAGGGAGGGATGATTTGGAAGAACTCTGGAGACAAGCAACTTGCAGTCTGCCTGAAATATGCTGGTGTGATTGCTGAAAACGCTGAAGATTCTGAAGGAAAAGATTTATTTAATACAAAATCTGTTAGACTTTCTATTGAAGATGCAATAACTAATAATCTCCAGGAGGTAGCAAAAGGCTGTTGTTCAGATATGGCAATTACTTTTAATGGAATGACAGCTAATCAAATGCATGTGATGATGTATGGAGTGTACCGTCTTAGAGCATTTGGACATGTTTTCAATGATATATTGGGTTTCTTACCTCTGAATGGTTCTGACAATGACTGAGAACTGGATTAAAAGCATATATACATTGTTTGCGACTAGTGTTGTTATTATTGTAGCAACTACATATCAGACACAGATGTATCATTTTCTCCTCTATTATTTTTAATTTAGTGATACTGGTATAATTACACATTAATATTTAGTAGTACTTTTTTGTATGGGGAAGTATTTTTTCCCTTAAAGAAAAATAAAAGGTAAGAAATGTCTTAAGAACAGTAACTTTGCAAGTAAAATGTTTAAATGTAAACATTTATGTGGTAAATTCTAAATTCTGAAAATAAAAAATAGTGTTTAATCATTTTGAAAGAGTATGTAAAAAAGAACTGATAGTATTAAAGGAAGAAATCCAAGTAAAGAAGAAAAACAAGGCTTCAGTAATAGAGTTGTTTTCAATAAACAGAAACAACTTACTTAATCCAACTCAAGAAATTTAGAAGATAATCTACTTGGATAACTAACTAGAAGAGATCCATGTTTCCATTCCAAAGAAAGGCAAGTCAGCAGAATGTAAACACTTTATTAATTATCAGAGGGAAATAAAATTTTGCTCAAGCAAATCTGTAAAAGGTCCCAGAAAATGTAATTGTGCATATGATATCTATACCTAGACCAAGAAGCTGTTGTATGAAGGGAGCACTGTATGCTTTAAAATCAGGAAGGTTGTGTGTCAGAGTTGTATCCTTTCTCCATACCTATTCCATTTGTATCCTGAGCAAATAATCTGTGAAGATTCATGAAATAACTAAAGATTTGAGTTTGGAGGAAGACTCATCAAAAACCTGGGTTACCCTGATGATGAAGACTGAGGACTGCTTTGCCCCTGTCCAGTGCGTGTGCCCTGTTTCTCTGAGCTGCTAGGAATGGCAAGATGTGATGGATTTCAAACTATAAACACATATGCTAATTTAAAATGGTCCAACCAGGACAAAAAACGAAAACCCCTAGCTTATGCAAATGACACATCATTGCTTGCTGAAAGTGAATAGGATATGAAATACTTACTGAAGAAGATCAAGGAAAACAGTCTTTGGTATGGGTTACATCTTAACATCAAGAAAGCAAAGGTCCTTGTTACAGGCCCAATAGTCAACATTATGATAGATAGAGAAAGTATTGAGACTATCAATGATCTAATCTCATTTTTATGAACAATCAACACCCTTGGTACTAGCAGTTTGGAACTCAGGAGATGTATCGTATTGAGATAGTCTGCTGTCAAGGACTACTCCAAAATACTGAAAAGCAATGATGTCAGTTTGGAAACTAAGGTGTACTTGATTCAGGCCTTAGTCTTTTTGATCACTTGCTATGCATCAGCGAGCTGCCTAATGAATAAGGATGATAGAAGAATTGATGCCTTTGAGTTGTGTTGGAGACGAGTGCTAAATCTCATGTGTGGCCAAAAGATCATATAGTTATGTGTTGGACAAAGTGAAGCCAAAGTGCTCCTTGGAAGCAAAGGTGGTGATGCTTCATCTCTCATAACTAGGCAAGGCTATTGGCATCTTGCTTGGAAAAATAGAAGTTTAGCAAAGGAGAGGAAGACCCCCAAATAAATGAATCAGCACAGTGTCTTCAACAATGAGTACTAGTATGTAAAAAATGATGAGGATAGGGCAAGGTTCAGATCTGTTGGTTGTAAGTCACTATGAGTAATACTTGACAGCACATAACAACTACAGTAGAAAGACAAGAAACTTCCAGAAAATTAAGCTAGAATGCAAAGTGGATCTTGGTTGAAAGCAGAAGATACCAGAAATCTATTTACTTGAGCTTTATTAGTTATGCAAAGGGAGTAGACTGTGTTGTTGCTGTTATGTGCAGCTGAGTCACTTGCGACTCATAGTGACCTTATGTACAAGAGCTAAATACCCTGCTCTATCCTGTGTCAATTTTATTGTTTCTGATATGCTATCCCCATTAACCTCGTCACTGAATTAATCCATCTTATAGAGGGTCTTCCTCTTTTGCACTGTCCCTCTACCCACCAGAGCATGAGGTCCCTCTCCAAGGATTGATCCCCCCTTACAACATGTCCAAAGTATTATTAAAAAAAACATGGATAGCATTATGAAGAATGGAAGTTCTAGAACTCTTAATTACTCTTATATGAGAGAAAATTGATCTAACATATCAAAGGGATACTAGATGTTTTTCACTTCTGAAAAACAAAATTGAAGCAGGAGGCATGACTCCTTGACCCAAAAGCTACTACACAGTGGTAATTAAAACTGCATGATACTGGTATAGTGACAGGCACATAGACCAGTGAAACAAAATTGAGAACAGAGAAATGTACACTATCTGTCTATGGTCAACTGATATTCGACAAGGAAAAGGGGAAATGACAGGCTCTTCAACAAATGGTGTTGGCAAAACTGGACTTCCACCTGCAGAATGATGAAACAGGATCCAATCTCATACTACGAACAAAAAGGTGGATCAGAGACCTGAGAGTAAAGTCCATAACCATAAAGCTCATAAGAGACAAACTGGAACCAAGCTTAAAAGGTCTAATGTATGATATAACGGGACTGTCAAATACAGCCAGAATTTCACAATCTGAAGAGGATAAAATTGATGAATGGGACCATCTAAAGATTAAATCTCTGTGCTCATCAAAACTTTCTTCCAGCAGGTTAAAAAGAAAACCTACTGACTGTGAACAAACATTTAGCAATACTAACTCAGACAATAATCTCATCACAGAAGTTTACAGAATCTACAGGTCCTCCAGAAGAAAAAGACTGATAACCCCATTATAAAATGGGCAAAAGACATGGAAAGATTTTTCACAGAGAAGGACATTTGGATGGCCAACACACATGAAGAAATGCTCTAAATTACTGGCAATAAGAGAGATGTAAATCAAAACCACAATACCATACCATCTTACCCCAATAGTTGTGGCAAAGTTTGGCAGAGCAGCAAGTAATAAATATTGGAGAGAATGTGGCAAGATAGGAACACTTATTCACTGTTTGTGGGATTGTAAAATGGTACAACCACTCTAGAAGGCAGGTTGGCGTTTCCTCAAAAAGCTGAACATAGAAATTCCATACGACCCAGCTATTCCCCTGCTTGGAATATATCCTGAGAGAATGAGAGCTGAGGCACAAACAGAGACATGTGTGCAAATGTTCATAGTAGCTTTATTCTCCAGAACAAGAACATGGAAACAGCCCAAATGCTCAACCACAATGGAATGGATTGAGAAATTATGGTACATTCACACAATGGAATACTATGCAGCACACAGGAGCAATGATTCTGTAAATTATTACCTAATGTGGGAGGGACTGGAGAACATTATTCTAAGTGAACTAACTTAAACTCATAAGGAACAATACTGTATAAGACCATTAATTGTAGAACGAATATGAGGATCCAAGGAGGGGCTGGGAAGAAACTTAATCATAGGATCACAAAATTTTATGGGTGGTGGGAAGGAATAATAAACAAAAGGGAGAAGATCCAGGGTGAAAAATAGTGTATATGAATTTTATGAACTTTGTATGTAAACCAATATTTAAAAAAAAAGTTTTGGTTTTTTTTTCCCTTAAAGGGATACTAGATGTTTTTAAGTAAAAAAAAGTATGTATCAATGTTGTAACTTTTCCCATTAACTATTTGGTGTGCATGGTTAACAAATAATTTGGGAAACTGAAGAAGAGCATGACAGTAAGACTGGCAGAAACTCGTTCATAACTTGTGGTATGCAGCTGACAAAACTTGGCTTTTTTTAAAGAACTAGCAGTATTTATTGATAAAGATCAAAGAGTACAACTTTCAGTATCAATTGCACTTGAATTCAAGGTAAACAAAAATCTTCACAGTTAGACCAATAAGCTATATCATGATAAACAAAGAAAAGGTAAGTTGTCAAGAATTTAATTTTAATTGTATTGATGCCTTTGAGTTGTGGTGCTGGAGAAAAGACTTGAATGTACCATGGACTGCCAAGAAAACAAATAGGTCTGTCTGGAGCAGAGTGAAACCAAGTTTCTTCTTGGAGGCTAGGATTTTGAACCTCCATCTCACATACATTGGGCATGTGGACAGAATGGACAAATCCTTGGAGAAGGACATCAAGCTCAGAAGGGTGGAGAGATGGTGCAGGAGAGGAAGACTCCAGATGAGATCTATTGATATAGTAACTGGGACAATGGAGGTTGGTGTGTCAGGATTAGTGAGACTAGCTCAGGACAGGGCAGCCTTCAGAGCTGTTGTACTTAGGGTCACAGACTGCTCAACAGCACATAACAACAACAATTAACATACAAGCAAGTGGTATGTTATGTTAGGCCACATTTATAAAATGTTTTTACACTGAAAGACACATACTTTGATAGTTATCAGGAGTAGAGACATAGGAATTTGAGTGAAAAAGAAGACAAGGCAGAAGTTAGCAAAAAATTATCAAGGCAAAGAAGATACTGGGAAGAGCACATGAGTTAAAATGACAGAAACACTGTTATATATACAAATCTAGAATAACTATAATAATAATAGTGAATGTATAAGCAGACATATAAGCTAAACAAATGTATGCAGCTACACAAAAGATAATATATAGGTTTAATAGCGAATATTTCTGCATGTATATTTGTGTATGCTGAAAATATATCCATGTGTGTAATAAAGCATACATGGAACAAAGTTATGATAACATTTAGTCACACACAAACACCTTGATAGAATTATTCTTTTGGCCTTGGGGTAAAGTTAATAGTATCGGGAGATAGCAAGGTTTATTATCCAGTGCAGTAAAGAAAGAAACTGTACCACATCCTTCTTTAGTGAGTAGTCCTTGGGGTGTTAATAACTTGTGTATGGTTCTTCATTTAGCATCTTTGATCTCTTCTTGTCCAGAGCAAAAGAGAATGAGGAAAATAAAAAAAATGTATTGAAATAATTGGTCCAAAGAACTAACAGATCATGTAGAACTCAGCTTCCTCGAAGACAGAAGAACTTGGTGTCTAGCTAGCCCTACTGATTTG